GCAGGGAGCCCGATGCGGGACTCGATCCTGGGACTCCAGGATCATGACCTGAGCCGAAGGCAGTTGCTTAACCAACTGAGCCACCCAGGCGCCCGATGCTTGCCTTTTTAAAAAAAAATTATATACAGTAAAATTCACTCTTTGTTTAGTTCTGAATTTTGACAAATGCATAGAACTGCCAACCACCACAGTCATGATACAGAAAAGTTTCATCATCCCATAAATTCCTTCTTGCTGCCTTTTTATAATCACCCCTATACCCTGTCAACCCCTGGCTACCACTTGGCTGTTTTCTGTGTCTATAGTTTTCTTGCCTTGGTTTTAATAGTCAATTTATGTATCTTTCTATTTTCAAAATGATAAACTAGTAATGTGATTATCAATTATTTTTTCTTTTTCTAGGTAAAATTAAATATTCAGAAAGAGTCTATGAAGCTTGTATGGAAGCTTTTGATAGTCTGCCTCTTGCTGCACTTTTAAATCAACAGTTTCTTTGTGTTCATGGTGGACTTTCACCAGAAATACACACACTGGATGATATTAGGAGAGTGAGTATATATTGTAGTTCCAAGGTTGATTCCTATTTATAGTACTTTGTTGGGTAGAGAGTAGAAGCTTCAAACTTCTCTTTACTGCCAAGATTAGGTAATGGTAAAAATTAATATACTGATATTTTAAGGAAATATCTTCTAACCATTCAGAACAATGTAGTATGGACAGTATTCAAAGTTGGTACCACTTTCCTGTGTCCATTCTATTCTCACTTTTTGACAAGTTATTTCTGTTCTTTGTTTCTTTCTTTTCTTTCTTTCACAGTTAGATAGATTCAAAGAGCCACCTGCATTTGGACCAATGTGTGACTTGCTATGGTCCGATCCTTCTGAAGATTTTGGAAATGAAAAATCACAGGAACATTTTAGTCACAATACTGTTCGAGGATGTTCTTATTTTTATAAGTAAGGAAAAATATCCAAGATTAAACACATTTTAGTTGTTAAAATAGCATATGTTTCATATAGAAAACCATTATTTTACTTAATTTACTTTTTTCCCCCCACAGCTATCCAGCAGTGTGTGAATTTTTGCAAAACAATAATTTGTTATCGATTATTAGAGCTCATGAAGCTCAAGATGCAGGGTAAGAATTCTGTTTCCCTGACCCAAATTAACACCTTATGTACAAATCAAACTTAGTAACTCATGATTGATGCTTTACGATGCATATTAAGCTATTTGTTTTACAGCTATAGAATGTACAGAAAAAGTCAAACTACAGGGTTCCCTTCATTAATAACAATTTTTTCGGCACCTAATTACTTAGATGTCTACAATAATAAAGGTAAGATGTTGTTGATAAAAAAAATTGTTAAACAACTTAGCATTTTAATTGACTTATTTTTTTTGAAAATAATAGAAAAGAGGCATTGTTTGAAACTGTAATTATCCAAATCTCATTATAAAAAAGCGTAAGATATAAGGGAGGGGAGAGAACAAGAAATAAAAATCCAAAATGTGAAACTTAAATCATATGTAACCATTCTACAACTTGGCACTCATAGAAGCTACCTTACTAAAAAATGTTCTGAATTAAGTCAAGAAGCCAAACATGATTTTCTCAAACTCCCCTTTCTTAAATCTTTCCCCTTATAATCAAGAGAATGTTTTCTTGTTTGCATAAAGCTGCTGCTACTGCTTTGATCATTTCGTGTATTGGCACTGTATAGTTAATTTCGTTTATCATGTTTCTTGTTTTTTGTTCACTGATCTAGGTTCTCATTCCCTTTCTTCTTCTGTACTTTTACCTCTACAGTCTTATCATTGCCCCCTGAAGATTAATAGTTGAACCTTCTTTGATCAATTCACTCTTACCTCCTTTCAGGGATATATTCCTCCCTTTCTTTTCTTTTTACTATTCTTTCTTCCTTTTTTCTTACGTCTTTTTTCTTTACTTGCTGTTGCACCAGCTTCCATTCCCTTTCCTTCTGTCCAGATTTGATCTGTTTATAATAATTTGGTTTCATTTAACTTTGAACATAGCTTATTGACAGATAATGCCGAAGGATCTTAATCTAGTTAAGTGTGTGCCAAGGAATTGAAGATGAGCTTGGGTATGTTTACGTAGCACACATTTTCAGAAGAGGAAATTAAGAAGCCATCTCCTATTCTGTCTTGATATGTCTGGAATTCAGTTGACTATGCCACAGTTTCCAGGGTCACTGGAGCAGATGTGCCAGGAGGAAAGAACAGAAGGTTAAAGACTTTTAAAAGTATTAGAGAGAGAATGAGGTCATTGCTAAATATGGGTCATGGAGTTCAAAAGAGGAACAGAAGAGTTGTTTTTTTTTTATTATTTGAGATGATGGTTAAAAAACTAAAACGTTTGCCTGAGATCAAATGGTAGCATGCTAAATAACTTTGATACAGAATATGTTACAAAAACTTAATACTATATTAATTACCAAAAAAACCATACCTTGACTGAGTTGCTCATCTTCAGAAGCTAGTATCAGTGCAGCCTTTAAGGATTATGCCAATGCTAAAATATTCTTTTAAATTATAGTTTGGTTTATAAATTTCAGAACTTGTAGAGAAGTTACCTAATGATGTGTGGCTTCATTTTTTAAGAGAATATATCTAAGTTTTGACTCTATTCTTAAGAACAGAATAGAGTGCTACATTTAACTTTCTACCAGTGCTCTAATACCTCACCTGTGACCTCCCCTTGTCAGTATTACAGGACCTAGTGTTCAGTGCTCAGTCGATTGTCTTATTGGTTGTCCTCTGTTAGTTTGATTTAGGGGTTTTAAGGGATCACTTTTCTGAGTATTCAGAAAAGAAACTCAAACCATTGAATCTGTCTTGTCAAAATCAAATGTCTCTCAGTAGTGATTAGTCTGTACATAGTGTTAATGATTTGAGTGCTTACATGGTATGGATATGTTTGTAATGTTTCATTTCATCTCTAAGGCAATTTTCTAGATTCTCTCTTTTGTTTTAAAGCTGAAAACTTGGTATCATTCCTTAATTTCTTTTTTTTTTAAAGATTTTATTTATTTTTTTATTTGAGAGAGAG